AAGTTAGCTGGGAATCACATTAGATCATATTGTAACAGTCAATCTTCAGGTTCGACTAAGAAATGGGTTCAAGAATAACTTAGTAACTTTATTCTTTCACAAGTTTTCAAGCGAACTGATTCAGAAAATGATTTAATTTAATAAAATGAATGCAAAGAATAAACGTGGCTCAGAAAGGATAAAATGTTGAACAATAAACTTGTTTCAAAGTAAGTATTCAACTTATTCGCCATCCTTTGAAATTGACTTGAAAAGGTCAATATTTTTGGTGCATTGAAATTCAAGTTGCATTCACCAATCAACTTGATTTAAATACAATTTTGTGCTCAAAGTGATAAGCTGAAAACTGAATCCATCTAAATAATGCTTGGAACCAGTAAACAGCTTGAAAATGGGAAAACAGTCGATGAAGTGAAGAACATTTGAATCAATTTTCTTCTCATAATTTCATTGCACTTTGAAAAGGAAACTTCAATAACTGAACTTGGGATTAACTCTGAAAGAACATTGAATTTCTCAAATTTACATTTCACCTCTTTTCCAGTCTGGACAATGAGCACTTTTCAATCATGAATGAACCAGGATAAAGATGATTATGATGATGTGAAGAAGGAAAAAAAGCCTCGACTCAAGTATTGAATACAAAAACCATCAAAGGTTAGATAATCATGATTTCCAAGAATAAAGTCCAATCTCTTATTTTCTCAAAATTCAATCCTTGAGTAAACTATAAGTCGATAATGAAAAGTTCAGATCTTAATTCTCACGAGAATAGCATTTCTCCAATAGATTTCCATTATAAGGTGTAAAAAGGGTAGATTAAGAGAGCAATAAAGTTGGAACAAAATTCAAGTTTTGACCTGAAAGTGAATGGAAGAGAAAAGAGTCGAGATTATTGAGATTCTTTACATTTAGATGAGCAAAGAAACTGATGAACATATTTATGGTTCCATCATACTTGATGTGTTATCTTCGTGTGTCTGTCTCGAGATGAAAAGTTATTGATATGAAGAATAAAGATGACAGAGAATCGAGGCTTGTATTGACGGTCGATTCCAAAGGGAAAAGGAGTGAAAATTCTGTGAGAATAGAATATGAGATTCGAAATTTTAAACTTTTTTCTTTCCTTTTCCAGTCTGCATCTTCCAGACTAAGCAAGTGAAAAATAGCGAAAAGTGTAAAAACAAAAAGAATATCAATTTTTTATTAAAATTTGAAAACCAAAACGAAACGAATAACCCATTTGTCCATCAACTGTCATTACTTTCGTTGCAAATGTATTCAAGTTTGACATGAGATTCACATTGAGAAACTATTCAATTGTCAAAATGCTATCAGTTAAAAGAAATGAATAATTTCAAAAGAATATTGCATTTTCTTGATCGAATAACAATTTAATTTCAACACTTTCATTCCAACATCGAAAAACACTGAACTTCTGAGAAATTCCAAGCCATTCAATTCTTCAAGACTTCATCATCTATTCATAAATACCAATCGACTTCGAATAAACATTTTCTTAGAACATCACAAAATTTTTGGTTCAATTTTAAATCTGTAATCCAAACTCGAAGAAACTCAAAAAGTTTTATCATGTTTTTTATCACCATTAAACAAACCCTAAAGTGATAGACTATAAATAATGTTGTCATCAAGTTATTGTTTTAATACAGAGAACAGATAATCAGGCGAATAAAAGAAATGAAATATTTTTTTCGATATTCTTTTCTTTTCCATTCTGTTGACATCATCAATATTATCATGGTTCAGGTTATTAGTTATTTGGGATTATTATTGATGCTCTTGTCTTGAAATGCTAGTTATTTTTGTCACCAATTTTCAGCATAAAATGCAATATAAATTGTTGAAAGAAAAGAGAAAGAATAAAGTTCGAAATAATATCTTTTCTTTTACATTTACAATTCTTAAGCAGATTATTCATAAATAATGGTAAAGTGATATGCATTTGCTGGGAGGGAAAATTGTAAGACGATAAAGTTGAGAGAAGAAGCGAAATATAAATGAACATTTATAGAATCAAGATGAATGGTAAAGATGAAAATGTATTAAAATATCATTTAAATTGAGATTATCATTTGTTATTCAGTTTAACACATTTTCCCAGCATTTGAATCACTAGGCAAGTTGAAAGTTGAGAATAATTTGATTCTTTAATTTGATAAAATCAAATCTCTGCGACTTCAAATGGAATCTATTTTTTATCGCTTCTATTGTTAAATTGTGACAAATTGTTTCACTCGAGTTTTATCATTCCTTTTAGACTTTTCATCATTTCATTTTATCTCAAGTTGGAACTTTTCAAATTGTGAAAAAAAGAAAACTGATTCAATGATTTTATTCATTCCATGAGTTGGACTCTACTCGAAGCTTTTTTGGTCTACTTTACGATAAAATCAAATGGCTAGTTTTGGATATTTTTTGTTCACAAAATTTGGATTCAGTTAAATTGCCTTAATAATGAAAAGATTTTTTCGGAAAAAGAGTTTTATCTATTCTCACGAATCCAAAAGTTTTTCATGGATTTAAACGATATTATACTCCGAGTGGCAATGCGAACTTCAAATGCTTGAATCTGAAGTTAGCTGGTACTCCAGGTAACTCGAAAATGAAGCATTTTTCGAAAAAGGATTAGATTAATACGCTAAGTATGATTCATCTAACATTCTCATAACGAGAAATTCCATGTCAGTCAGTTCATTCTTTTCGTTTGGTCTTCATTCTTTGAATTTTTGAGTTACTATTGATTCTGTTTCCTGATTCTGTTGGATTGAATTGTGGTGCAAGATTGAGCCTTAATCGCTATCAATTCAACATTATATTATTCAAATTATCGTAAAATCAGTTTAGATGATTCTAGTGGAAATTTAGTTTCATTTTCATTTTCTGATAACTTGATTATTCAGTTTATCAAAATGTTTTGCTTAACAGATGAAACAAAAAACACGATGAAAAGAAGAAGAAAATTTGCGTTTGTGAATAAATTAACAAAAACTAATAAAACTTACAATGATTAAATGTAATAATGTTGTTAACATTTGAATCTGTTTAAAATGTAAATTGTTGAAATGCAAAAGCAATGTAAATGCAAAAAAGTTGAGTTTACATTTGCGAATTGTAAAACAAGCTCATTCTGTTCAGTTTATGAATCTTTTTTTCATGCATTAAACTCATTTCACCAATAGTTCAATTACGAAAATCAAATTGGCATTAATTGAGTCTTTTAATAACCTCAAATGTTCCGTAACCATTTGTCTTTGAATCACTTTTCTTCTTCAGAAAAATCAAAATTCTTTATCCCAAGTTGAACATTTCTCAGTGAATCCAGAAGTTTTCATGGCATTTTAATAACTTTTCATTTCTTCAATTGTCGTTTCTCAATCGATATCAACAGTTTATCGTTTTTAAACTGTTCAAAATTGTTTCAATTCTCATGAGAAAATGAATTACAAGAATTTTCCTTTCATTCTTCATTGGAATCACTTTCAGTAACCAGTCATGATTAATGATGAACCATTTACCTGAACAATTACAGAATTTATTGCAAAAGTTAATCAACAATGAAAAGTTTTAATCGTAAATTTTCTTCTTAATCATGCTTCTAGTATTGATTATTATTGGACAGTTTGTTTCATCCAATTCTTATGTTCATTTTTATCGTAATTCAAAAGTTGAGCTCGCATTGTTGGTGAATTGAATGAGAAAAGTTGATTTTCTTTTCGCCACTTTATTGATTGTTGTGTTCATTTTGTTAGTAAAAAGTTGTAATAAATATTATGATTAAATTATTAGATAATCAATCATTTGACAAACTGTTTTGTGAAGAGAATCGAGAAAAGATGACTTTTCTTTTCAACTTTTCCTGAACATCAATTTCAAATTAAACTGAAAATAATGAAATTGAGTTTAAAATGATGAATTGACCATGATTATGATTTAATTTTGGATTAGTTCATTAAATGCATTCTGATGAAAAGGGATGAAAAATGATGAGAAAGGTATTCATGATAATACCTTTTCCCGATTAAATTATTCCAGTTTTTCATCTTTTATCAAAGGTAAGTCTTGTGGTGGAGTGAATGATGAAAGATGCTTTGAAAAGAGAAAGAAAAAGGAAAATAAGAAAAAATGAATTCTTAACAGTTTTCAATTGCTCAACCATTTTATTGAATAACATGGTTAATCTATTAATATTTTTTAATCGTATTGTGTATTTACTCATCTTATTTGTGAGCAATGATTAATTTTTCAAGTTTTGTTTATTTTACCTTCCATTTTGTGAAACGCAATTTGTGATGAAAAATGAAAAATTTGCCATTCAATCAACAGAGTTTATTCAAATGAAGATTATTTTATAAAATGATTAAAATTTTTACGAATTTTTATATCAATATTCACGATATTATTATTTATTTCATTAATTGTTTCCCAGTCTAATTACAGGGATGGAAAATATTGCATAAGAATGACTTTAATCTAATTATTAGAGTTTTTAGTGCTTAAGCAAAGGCTATTCTGTCTAGATGAAAGATTTACTTGAATTGAAGATGAAAGGATGAAAAACGAGAAAAATTGGTTCATTTTCAACATTTTTATTTCTGTATAATATCTCCATCTCTTGGTGAGAATCGAAACATGAGTTGTATTAATGTATCTCCATCTATAAGTACAATATAAAACTAAGTTTAACTTGTTATTTTACTGCAAGAGATGGCGCTGTTGAACAAAACGGTTTTGCTCACCGGCTAATCCGTTTGATTCAAAGAGTAACAAGAGACTGCATGAGAATGGAAGACCTCAAATCGAGATAAAGAGTTCTCGTAGGGGTTGATAGATGGTGTTTAATATAAGATATGT